GGTGCTGCTCAGTAGGAGAGTATAAGTCTTTCCTGTTCTTTGCACTCAAAGACTCCTTTCTCATTTCTCCTTCAGCAGACTGGAGAAAAGCTCTGTAATAATGTAATTCCAGGACACTTTATGCCCATGATGCTCTTTCTCTCTCTCCTGCAGACCTACATTCTTGTTAATGATCTACCTTGAAACACAGAAGCCAAAAGGTTGTGCAGGTAATTTTATGCTTTTCCGCTGCTTTATACTTCTTAAGGTAATGAGCTCAAGGCTGGCTATCTAAATTCGGAGAATGTAAAGTGGAAAATGCGAACTCTCCCCCCAAATATTGTCATATCTCACTGCTTTCTGAGTTCAAAGTCAGTTGAGAAATAGGCTCAGGCATCAGTCAGACATAAAATGTATTAATTTAACACATTTGTTAAATAACATCTATGGTCCCAGTATGGCTGGCACTAGGCCATAAAAATACACCCATCCATTATTTGCAAAGTTGCATTTTAAAACTTGGCCTAGCCTGAGGCCAAAATGACCTTTCCTGAATTTTATTTAAAATCCATTTAAGATGTGGTACCCACACCAGGCTCACCAGTTTGCAGTATACTTGAGTAGGTGGAAAGGAGCAGAAACCCTGTTTCAAATGCTTCATAGAGGCTGAGAGTTCCTGTTTTATGGGTGGAGGCAGGAACTGGAAGAGAGGGAACATTATTCCATTTGCAATTAATACTGCAGCTTTTTATCCAGACTCTTATGAGTTGTTCTTGAATTTTGAATATGATGTAGGTGAACATCATTTATCTAGGTGTGCTTACTCTTTCATTTAGCTCATTTTTATTAATGCTAAAGTGTCTTTATTACTAATTGAGAAGGCAGTATTATACAAGTGCCTTCTACTTCCATTAATCTGCGTATCCATAAAAATTTATCATCTGTATCACACTAAATATATTACAGAAATGAGTTCAGATTCGTTTCTCCACATTTATTTTCTTCATATGGTAATTATAAAGGGTGACATTTATAAAGGGGCTAAAACCTAGCCCCTAGCCCCTTAAAGTATCATCTTTATGTTTAAATACACTCAACTATAATTAACATTAAATTTGTACCTGACCCCTCAAATCCTTGATGTGCCAGCTCTGGGCCTGTTTTCCCTGAGATACATTCCTCATCCTCCCTGCTCTGCTCTGCACTGTAGGGATGGGGAGTGACCCTTCAAACTGTTTCCCAGGCTCCTATGTTACCTCTGCTTTCAGCTGGGTCTAGCCAATTGAAGGTACTGCCTGGCAGCCTGGGTATAGGCACGAGGAATCAGAGTGTTTCTACCTCAGGCCACATCTGCAACAGTGGCTGAGCCTCTGTGGCCCCCACTGGTCCAGATAGGCCCACAGTGAGTCCCATTTCCACCAAGTAACCAGGCCATAGGATGCAAGATCTTTATCTCCTTTCTGTCCCCCTAGCCTAAAAGTGGTTCGCCCTCCTACTCCTTCTAATCTCTGGGCTACTTTGCAGTCCCCGGTTGGGTTTTCAGCTCTGCCATCATGTATGTAACCAATTCCCTGTATTAAGTTCCCTCTATTCTAAATACATGGAATGGTCTGTCTTCCAGTTTGGACCTTGACTGATGGTCTTGGCTTAAAAACTATCTTCATTTACATTTTTCCCAGATCATAAAAATGAACTCCATCAAGTGAATAGGGAGGAAAGAGTATGATTCATATAATTACCAGTGTAGAGAACCTATTATTTCTCAAAATATGTTTCACGGAAAACTGGTATCCAATTATTTGCTGTTAGATGGGCTATGAAAAATGGGTTCCTTGGTTCAGTGTTTGGAACACAGTGGGTTAAACAAAAACAAATGGCTTTAATATTATATGTCTCAGAGACTTTAATGTTCTGGCATGCATTGTAACTTCTCAAATGGGACAATCATACGCAGAAATTCCCGAAGTTATTTAACAAGAGAACCTACTTAAGCTAAAACTTGCCTGGGACACCTAAATAAGTAGTACTTGAGGGAAGTTCAGTGTAGGGACAAAAAGGAAAACCTGAGCCTGGGGCATTGATGGGCCTATAGGTAAGTGACTGCAGTAAGGTTAATTTTTTAATCATTCTGGGTCCAGTGGGAGATGCTTTAGGAGTCCCAGACAAACTGCACAGAGTGGCATAGTGGGAAACATGTGGGTCAGATCTGGGTTCAGTCTTGTGGGATCAGGGGCAAGATAATTAACCTATCTGAGCCTGCTTCTTTATCTGTAAGAAGCTGGAGTTTAATGATCTCTACATAGGGCTGTTATGAAGATTAAATGAGGTATGTAAAAGCATTCTGAAAAGTGCTATGCAGATTAGCTAATAAGTTATATTTTAGTCTTCTACGGTCAGTTCAATTTAATGTTCTCTCCCATCATTTTTATGCTTCATTGTTTTAACTTTTTAATTTTTCAAATTAAAAATTTTAAATAATTTCAGATTTAAGTTGCAAAAATAGAATTCCCATATGCTTTCCAATTTCCCAAAACATATATCACAGCATGAAACTCAGGAAATTAACATTGATATAACTCACGATTATATGTAATATACATACCATAGTAAACTTCACCTGTTACCACACTAATGTCCAATTTCTGGTCCAGCATCCAACTGAAGATCATATGCTGCACTTAGTTATGTCATCTTCATTTTCTTTATCTGAGTGTTCTTTAGTCTGGTCTTTCATGGTCTTGATAATTTTGAAGATTACAAGCCAAATATTGTATAGACTATCCCTCAACTTGGGTCTGTCTGATGCTTTCTCATGGTTAATATTAATATTTTGCATTAATAGTGATGCTTTATTCATGCCACCAGGGATGGTATAATGATGGGGATAGTGTACTGGTTAAGTGCATGGACTCTAGTCAGAATACCTGGGTTCAAAGTCTGACTTTACCAAACTGTGTGACCTTGGTTTGTGAGTCATCTTCCTTATCTGTCAAATTAAGAAATGTTCATAGGGTTGTTGGGATTATTAAATGAGTGAATATATGGAAAGTTATTACAGTGCCTGGCACATAGTAAGTGCTGTATATGTTAGCTAATATCAGTTGGGATTTTAGTGGCTTTACTGGTAGGAAATATACCCTTGCAAATTGATGAAGAGACCAAAGTAGCAGCAGGCATTTTAGCCGTGAGCATCCTTTGCCCCTCCCCACCCAAAGAGCCAAGGCCAAAGACCTGCTGCCAG